GCTCTGCCTGTGTCCACTCTGCTGAAAGGTGTGTCGGCTCCCAGAGTGCACAGCTCTCTGCAGCTCAGCCTGAGCACGTCTGGCTGCACCACTCCACCAAACCGAGAGGCTGACTGTCTCTCTGCTGTTAACATCAGACACAGGGGTACGTGTCACGCTGATGGCATCTTTCGTATTTCGCTGTTCAATTGGCTGTTTTCTCTTTCATACAATTTATAGCATATTAGCTGGTGAGAGATGGCATGGTTCCCAAACTTTACTGCACCTGGAGTCACCAGGTTTTTTCTAAAGTCTAGGGGAGCTTGGCACCCACCACCACGCATTCTGGCCATCATGCAGATGGGATTTGTCCTGGGGATTAGAACTTGTACAAACTCCTCCCCACATGACTCTATGGCAAAGTCTGGGGGTCTTTGAGCAGCAGCGCTTCTCCATTATTCAAATGGTTTTCAACCCATAGGTTTCACAGACAACATCCTTATAGATTCTGCTGATTACATGTTTTGTGCTTCTCTGTCTCAGGATGATCTTTTCATTTCCACTCATTGTCTTCATATTCCCATTAGAACGCCAGCTTTCAGGGAACAAGGGTTTATTTGATTTACCCTCCGCTATGTCCTCACCTCCTACAACACTGAGGTGCATTGTAGACACTTGATAAATATTTGGTTAACCTGTGAACAGCTCACTGACATTCACTTCCTAGATAAATCTATTCGCACACAATTTCCAATTTACAGTGTCTATTTAGGTGGTTTCCAGGTCTGGTTCTTCATTTCCAGGGGCCACCTTTCAAGTCTCAATTACACGAAGATTCATTTTAAAACCTGGCCTCAATGTTTTATCTCCCAAATCTCTCCACACACCAGTTTTATCTCACTGTTTAGTCTTCTCATATTTACTCACTTTATGGTGTTTCTGGAAATTCTCTTGAATTTTTCCTTCCCTTTAATTTTTTTTTTTTTTTTTTCGGCACTGGGGATTGAACTCAGGACCTTGAGCTTGCCAGGCAAGCGCTTATTCTACTGAGCTATCTCCCCGGTCCTGAAAACATGAATTATTAATGTTTGGAATAAAAGAGGGAATCTGATTTACTTTTGGAAACAGTTTTGCACAACAGAATTGGTGACTTCATTAAAATGGGCATATTTCTATTTCTAGACAATCTATTGCTAGAAAAAATAAACTACTTGAATATTTATTTATTCATATTTTAGTTTTTTTTTTTTTTTTTTTTTCCTAGGTCCAGCTATGTCATCTAGGCTGTTCTGGTACTCACTAAGTAGTCTATGCTGGTCTTGAACTTGTGGCTATTCTCCTGCCTTAATTTCCTGAGTGCTGGGATTACAGGCATGAACCACCACACACAGATAT